AGTCTCTGAACGCGTCTGTATGGTGTGTTGTCGTAAGTTGAGCTAAGTTTCTGCTTCGTGTATCTCCTCAATGAGCTCCTGTGCTGGTCACGTACATTCATGCCTAGAAAACAGGGCCACTGTTTTGTGCCTGGGTGTTCGACAGGTTACAAATCTTGCAAGAAGAAACTTCCTCTCTTCGGTGTGCCCAAGGATGAAAGTGTGTTTGCGCAACAGCAGCGGGTGATTCCCTGCGCTGACAAGCAACTTGAAGAGAACTACGCTGTGCGCGAACTTTACATTGACGAATAGTACATATCACAGCAGTTTGAGCACACTTTAAATGGAGAACTCCTCCAGCTGGACAGAACAAGACCTCTGCTGCTTCCCGGCGCAGTGCCAACGCAGTTTCCAAATCTTCCCACGTACTTGTCCAAGCAACTGGTAGCAAAGAGAAAGTTGCCCGCGAGAACCAGAAACCAAGTTCCACCCAGCAAGAAATGTGTGGAAGACGTTAGTTTCCCTTCAACTGTCGACATCGAGGTAGCTTTGCGCGCATCCTCGTTTGAGAACCTGACCTTGCCATCCTGTTCGTGGGGGGAAACACACGCTGAATGTTTCACCGCTAACTGTCGCCTACAGCATGCGTCAATGTGGGCAAGACAAAAGCGTCCTGTTTGCAAGGAAGTTGGTTGTGTTCTCCGAAGCAGCAAGCTCTGTAAAACCAGAAGTGTTCATCAAAGGCGTACAGCAAACAGCAGGAGGTGTATCATGACCCTGAATTACTTCTCGGGAAAGTCGATGCCATGAGCATTTGTGTGGGTGCAGGTATGATCGACGAGTTTCCGTTCCTTCTGGGAAATGCAAAATCAGTGGTCTTGGACACTACTATTTCTAGCCTGAGATGTCACGGAGTTACAAGTGAGGTCAATAAGCCATGTATCCCATGCAAGCATTTAAGGAAAGCTTTTTTGAATCAAAGTTGTTTAAAAAAACTGTGCAGCCACAATCAAACAGCACGCCTCTCAAAGAAAAGAAGAACCCGAACACAAGCTGTCCAACAGCTGAAGGCCACGCTCTCACTCTACGATCAGACTATTACAAAACTTATGTAGCAAAGTGAAAAGCTGAAAGTGTCCTTGCCGACAGTTTGAAAACTCCCACCCAAGCAAAAACTTGCTGTGACGCAATGTTTCCAAGTTGCTCGCCGTAAGTCAACGAAAGAAATGAAGTAAAATCCAGACTGGCTACTAAAATGCATCATCATGAGGATGAACAGCCCAAGGCTTTACAAACATGTCAGAAGAGAGGGCATACTGGTGTTCCCAAGCAGAGCCTGCCTAAAGGTATATGTGCGGCGATACAAAAGTGGCTTTGGTTTCAGTCCTGCTGTCTTGGCCGGAATTGTGAAGAAAACAAAAGACATGGAGGAATACAGATGTCATGAAGTTCTCATCACGGATGACATGAAGTTCGGGGTGGGGTGTAATTCTTTTCTGCGGGGGTTGAAAGAGTGGGAGTTTCAGATGTGGAGAGGTTCTGACTTCGACTAAATTACGTCCTGCGACGTAAATATTGCTAAAAAAATTTTTTCACGGAACATTTGTTTTGTGACATGCTTGTCCCAATTAGGCTGCTTAAAAAAAATGTTTTTTTTTTTCTTTGCAGTTACCCTATAAGGCAAGAGCAGCAATCCATGGTATTAAATAAAGATGTTTTCTCAACTCAACTCAGCAAACCTACAGCACTAACATACTAACCATTTACTAACCTACTTAATGTTCTTTTTAAGGAGGGGAATATGTTGCGTCGCAGTTTAAGTTTCTGCATGAGGTCTGTCAACCTTGTAATGTGTGTGTCACTAGTGCTGTCTATATAAACGTGTTGATACATTAAAAGTGCTCTTAGACTGCCGCTGCTTGCTCATCACTTCGGCCTCGGTCGCTGCAACACAAAGACGGAGTCTGGAGATTGGTGGGAACGGATAGTTCAAACGGAGTTCCATGGCGAAGATTGGAAAGAAGACTTCCGAATGTCTAGGGCTTCATTTGTAGAGCTGGTTGCTCTAATTGCACCACAAGTGTCCCCCCATCTCCAGTGTGTGAGGCCCCCTGTGGAAGTGGACAAGAGGGTGGCCATAGCTCTGTATAAGCTTGCCAGCTACTGCAAATACAGATTTGCAGCCAACCAGTTCAGTAAACACAAGAGATGTGTACTGTCGAGACCGGTTACAACGAAGCCAACGAGGATCGGAAATCACTTCGCTATATCCGCTATTTCGTTATAACCGAATTCGGTTATAACGAAGCGCAAAAGGCAATGGGGAATCGGGATCGCTTCGCTGTAGCCGCTACTTCGTTATAACCGAGTTCGTTATAAGCGGTCTCGACAGTACCTGTTCTGTCAGACGTCGACAACTAAGTTTATGATGAACTTCATTTGACTGCAAATGCCAAGGAGGCACGACAGACGGTTGCCAATTTCGAAGCAAGGTGCCACATCCCTCAGGTCTGGGGGGCCATCGACGGCCCCCATATCCCGATCCCAGCTCCGAGGAAGGTGTAGCGAGACTTTGTCAACAGAAAGCACTGGCCGACCTTCAACATGCAAGCTGTCGTGGATGACAGAGGAGTGTGCCTTTGCTACCAAATGTAGAAACAATAGACCCTTTACGAAAGTTAGTCAAGTAACTATGAAACACCGAAACCACCGCCATTACTGCGTTGTTATGACGGAAGCGAGCGATGGCAGGTGCTTGTGGCTGTACCCCCAGTGCCTTTGGCTACAGTCCTCAAGGATCAGTAACCGCCTTCCCAGTAGAGCTTTTGCCGTCACTAAATCCTCAGCTTTTGCCGTCACTTCATTGCACATGCAGGGTGCCGCTAGGGGCTGCTAGGGGTACGCTGGTTTATTTTTAAACATGAGTTTGTGTGTACGAGATGACGAGGAGGAGCTGGTTCTTGCTGAATATTTCAGTAATAATGAACTATAAATGAACTCACGAAAGTCAGTTTGAACAGAGTTGCTATGCATCTCCCAACAAAGTGGCCGTGGTGAAATGAACGTGCCCGACCAGTGAACATGATTAAAGCCCGTCGGTACATAGTGTATTCATTGTCGTGTTTGTGTCCAATACTCGAGCCTTTTCTCAGATCCTTTCGTAGCAGCTGGTTTCTGACCCTTGCATGCCTCTTTTCTTTCAATAGGCATGGCATCAAGTACGAGCCTGTTGCTGTTATGCTACGGGAGTTGCTTGCGTGCCCTTGGACACGACGCGCAGAACTTCCCCTGCGGCATCCTTGTTGACCCGGAATGCCCATGGCTGCTGCCATCTCGACAAAGAAATCTCTGGGATCCAATTGAACCAACTCCTCATGCAGTTGTAGTGGTGAAGTGCCCATACACCCAGAAAGACTGTTTGTTTCAATACGGTGTGGAACTTTTATATGACGAACGGCACCGCACGTGTATACCGGCTGAACGGGAACCATAAGCATTACCGTCAGATACTTGGACAGATGGCACTCCCCGGGCTGCTGTGGGGGGACTTTGTAGTCTACTCACACAGGACCTCCAGGACCTCCTCAAGGTATTCGGCAGCAGCCTCGCCACGGACTTCTGAACTTTTCTGCGGATTGGTGTCGTATTTGTCCGTTTTCGTATTGCGCCTAAATTTCGGGCACTTTCCCCTTTTTTCTTCTCATGTATTTCAGCATATCACTTTTAATGTTTGTTTGTTTTAGTTTCAATAAAGTTTGTCATTTTAGAGATTAGGGCAAAGGTGTTTGAATCGGCATCCCGATTTCGAACGGAGGTCACGGTATCTAGAATGGGAGGGGTTTTAGGACTTGTCATTTGGTGAACTGCTTCCATGAGACAGTAGGTTGCGTGCAAGCACTGTGATCGAGCAATTTGACCAGATGAGACGCGTTTGCATAGTTTTTGGGGTTTTTTTTTTTTCTAGTGTATCTGACAAACACTCGGCACGTTTCTGCTTTAGTTAAAGGGTCATGATGCAAAATCTTGAAAATTTTTAAGTTATTCGCATTATGAAATCACTGCAAGCGGCTTAGTGCTCAACCTTTAACCCTTTACTGCACCTTGTTGCATATTCGCAACATAGCGATAAACGACGATAAAAACATCTACAAAATGCATTCAGTGCTAGTTCCGCACGTTGTTGCATTTCTGCAACATGCATCCGCGAGGCGAGCCGTCCAGTGCTGCCATCTGTACTCAGGCGGCGAAACTGCTCTCTAAAAAGCGTGACAGCCACCACGTGGACGCTCAACAAGTGACACAGGTAAGCCTTGACTACTGCATATCACGTTCTATACAGTGTAATGCAAAACAAAAAATTTGCGACTCAACTTAATGTCCTGCTGATTATGTAAATACTAAAAACCTTAAGATTATCGACGAAGTTTGTCTTTGGAAGCAAAAAATAGCTATGTTGCACAGATGCAACAACGTGCACGACGGTGTTTTTTCTTCGTAGAGCAGACACAATGGACCCCAAACGGTTTTACAGCCGTGGAATTCCTTCCGACAGTGAGGACAGCGAGCTCTCCGGCAGTGACGATGACTCTGATTGTAAGTTAATGTTTTTTTCTGGAAATCCAACTTTTTTTCACGTAGAGAATAAAATTAGAAGCAGTGTAGGCTTTATTGACAGAGATTTTCGGAAGAGACCATCCTTCGTCAGGTGTAACTACACACAATTGCAAAGTTGTAGGGTTGTTTTCACGCTTTCAAAGAGCACACTTAGAACCGCCAGGGAAGATAGTCCCCTATACAATGTAGAATTTCTCTCCAAATTATTTATTTTACTGCTCATTGTATGAGTTGTACGAGACGCTGTTATTTTTTGTACCCCAGATGTCCAACCCCCTGCAAAATGTAGTGCCAGTTCAAGCGAGGCGAGTACAAGCTCTGACGAAGAGGAAGCTCCCGCAAGCCAACCAGCTGATCAGTCATCAACTCAATCTAAGAAAAGAATTATCTGGAAGAATGCAAGCCTGATGCGGGATCCTGAAACAGTGAAGTTCACTGGACAAAATGAGCTTCCGCAGGAAGTTTCAGAGTTGGAAACACCTTTCCAATACTTCAAGTTCGTCTTTCCAGGCGCTCTTATTTCGCTTATTGCAAATGAGAGCAATTTGTACTCAGTCCAGAAGGATGCCAGTAAGCCCCTCTGCACCAGTGCCGAGGAGATTGAAGTTTTTCTAGGCACCTGCATGTGGATGTCTATAATTCAGCTGAAGAACACTAGGTGGTACTGGAGTGAAGCTACCAAAGTAAGCCAAGTAGCTGACCACCTCACGGTGACACGCTTCGAACAGTTGAAGCACAACCTTCACTTTGTGGACAACAGCTCTCTCGGCCCAAGAGATGATCCTGATAGAGACCGGCTTGCAAAGATACGACCGCTCGTCGATGCTGTAAATGAACAGTTGTCGCTGATACCGCTTGAAGAGCACTTGTCTGTGGATGAACAGATTATACCTTTCAAAGGCGCAAGTGCACTGAAACAGTACTGTCCCCAGAAACCAAAAAAATGGGGGTACAAAGTATTTGTTCTCTCAGGAGTAAGTGGCTTCTCGTACAAGCTAGAACTGTACACGGGACAAGAAAACTCTGCCCCAAGACGTGCAGGAGAGCCTGACTGTGGAGCAAGCGGGAACATTGTTGTTCGATTGTGCAGGTTAATCCCAAGAGGAGTCCACCACAAAGTGTATTTCGATAACTACTTCAACTGTCCAACCCTTCAGGTGTACCTGGAAAAAGAAACCGTGCACTGCATTGGTACAGTCCGGATCAACCGAGTAACGGGTATCAGCATGCCATCTGACAAGGAAATGAAACAGAAAGGAAGGGGAAGCTTTGAAGAGAAGGTAGCTACCCTGGATGGCATTCAGCTGTCGTGTACAAGGTGGCAAGACAACAGAGCCGTCACCTTGCTGTCCACCTTTGTTGGGGCAGAGCCTGTCCTAACTGCGCCAAGGTGGAGCCAAAAAGAAAAGGAGAGGCGCGACATACCGTGTCCGTCGGTGATAGGCGCTTATAACAAGCACATGGGAGGAGTGGATCTCTTAGACTCTCTGATCTCCCTCTACCGCGCCCATCTCCGATCGAAGAAATGGTACTTTCGTATTTTTCTTCATATTCTCGACTTGACGGCTGTAAATGCCTGGCTGCTGTACAGGAGGAATGCCGAGACTACTTCCGATCAACCAACACGAAAGCTCATGCCATTAGCAGAGTTCAAGGTGGACCTCGCCACGTCACTCTGCAAAGCAGGAAAAAATCAACTGAAGAAAAGGGGAAGGCCCAGCAATGAGTCCGTGGAGCAAGGCATCCAGCTGAAGAAGACAAGAGGTCCCAGCTAAAAATTATCATTAGATCCAATTGGAATTCTAACTGGTTTTAATTGGAACCAATCGGTTTTAGTGGGTTCCAATTGGAAGTACACTGGCCAATGGGTCTCACCAGTTGGAAAAAATTTTCCAGTTGGAAACTTAATGGGTTTCAAATGGTTCCCGTTGGTTCCCATTACAGTGACCTATTGGTTGTCCGAAAACCTAACTGGTACCAATTGGAAATTGTAATTGGAATCTAATGAGAATTTTCGACTGGGGTCCTTCAGCACCGTGTCCACCTCAAGATGTCAGGATTGATCAGGTATTATCACTGGCGAATTAATCTGTGTTACAAACCTCACTGTTCATACTTCTATGCTCAGGTTGGCCACTGGGTGCTTTGGAGTCAGAAGCGACAGCGTTGCAAGTTTCCTGGATGCAAGGGCATTTGTATGAGCTACTGCTCTAAGTGTGGCACTCACCTGTGCTCAACAAGCAAGAATAACTGCTTTCTTTTGTATCACACAAGCAAATGAGGCCACATCTCTCACTGATGTCTGTAAATACAAGTTTGGCTCTGGTTCACAAATTTTTAGCATTCGGCTATAAATATTTCGTTATTTCCATCTTGTTGCAAATATGCAACATACCTATCTTTTTTCGATATAAATTTTTTCGAAACTTTGAAATTTATTTTAGTGATAGTATTGTGATAACTGTGGTATTCTACTTCTGCTGGAATAAAATTGTGAAAAAATAAAAAGTTGTGCAGTAAAGGGTTAAGGGTTTCAAGTAACTTGAAAATTACTGTTTTTTTTTTTGCTTTTAGTTGAATTGGATAATGATCAGCAAGTTTGATGTCTGATAGCAGTGAACTGAATATTTCAGTAATAATGAACTATAAATGAACTCACGAAAGTCAGTTTGAACACAGTTGCTATGCATCTCCCAACAAAGTGGCAGTGGTGAAATGACCGTGCCTGACCAGTGAACACGATTAAAGTCCGTCGGTATGTAGTGTATTCAATGTGGTGTTTGTGTCCAATACTCTAACCTTTTTTCAGATCCTTTCGTAGCAGCTGGTTTCTGACCCTTGCATGCCTCTTTTCTTTCATTAGGCATGGCATCAAGTACGAGCCTGTTGCTGTGTCATGCTACGGGAGTTGCTTGCGTGCCCTTGGACACGACGTGCAGAACTTCCCCTGCGGCATCCTTGTTGACCCGGAATGCCCATGGCTCGTGCCATCTCGACAGAGAAATCTCTGGGATCCAATTGAACCAACTCCTCATGCAGTTGTAGTGGTGAAGTGCCCGTACACCCAGAAAGACTGTTTGTTTCAATACAGTGTGGAACTTTTATATGACGAACGGCACCGCAGGTGTATACCGGCTGAACAGGAACCATAAGCATTACCATCAGATACTTGGACAGATGGCACTCTCCGGGCTGCTGTGGGGGGACTTCGTAGTCTACTCACACAGGACCTCCAGGACCTCCTCAAGGTATTCGGCAGCAGCCTCGCCACGGACTTCTGAACTTTTCTGCGGATTGGTGTCGTATTTGTCCGTTTTCGTATTGCACCTAAATTTCGGGCACTTTCCCCTTTTTTTTTCTCATGTATTTCAGCATATCACTTTTAATGTTTGTTTGTTTTAGTTTCAATAAAGTTTTTCATTTTAGAAATTAGGGCAAAGGTGTTTGAATCTGCATCCCGATTTCGAACGGAGGTCACGGTATCAAGAATGGGAAGGGTTTTAGGACTTGTCATTTGGTGAACTGCTTCCATGAGACAGTAGGTTGCGTGCAAGGACTCTGATCGAGCAATTTGACCAGATGAGACACGTTTGCATAGTTTTTTGGTTTCTTTTTTTCTAGAGTATCTGACAAACACTCGACACGTTTCTGCTTTAGTTAAAGGGTCATGATGCAAAATCTTGAAAATTTTTAAGTTATTCGCAATATGAAATCATTGCAAGCACCTTAGTGCTCAACCTTTAAGGGTTTCAAGTAACTTGAAAATGACTTTTTTTTTGTTTTTTTTTTGCTTTTAGTTGAATTGGATAATGATCAGGAAGTTCGATGTCTGATAGCAGTGAACTGAATATTTTTGTAATAATGAACTATAAATGAACTCACGAAAGTCAGTTTGAACACAGTTGCTATGCATCTCCCAACAAAGTGGCAGTGGTGAAATGACCGTGCCTGACCAGTGAACACGATTAAAGTTCGTCGGTATGTAGTGTATTCATTGTGGTGTTTGTGTCCAATACTCTAACCTTTTTTCAGATCCTTTCGTAGCAGCTGGTTTGTGACCCTTGCATGCCTCTTTTCTTTCAATAGGCATGGCATCAAGTACCAGCCTGTTGCTGTGTCATGCTACGAGAGTTGCTTGCGTGCCCTTGGACACGACGTGCAGAACTTCCCCTACGGCATCCTTGTTCACCCGGAATGCCCATGGCTCGTGCCATCTCGGCAGAGAAATCTCTGGGATCCAATTGAACCAACTCCTCATGCAGTTGTAGTGGTGAAGTGCCCGTACACCCAGAAAGACTGTTTGTTTCAATACAGTGTGGAACTTTTATATGACGAACGGCACCGCAGGTGTATACCGGCTGAACAGGAACCATAAGCATTACCATCAGATACTTGGACAGATGGCACTCTCCGGGCTGCTGTGGGGGGACTTCGTAGTCTACTCACACAGGACCTCCAGGACCTCCTCAAGGTATTCGGCAGCAGCCTCGCCACGGACTTCTGAACTTTTCTGCGGATTGGTGTCGTATTTGTCCGTTTTCGTATTGCACCTAAATTTCAGGCACTTTCCCCTTTTTTTTTTTTCTCTCATGTATTTCAGCATATCACTTTTAATGTTTGTTTGATTTAGTTTCAATAAAGTTTGTCATTTTAGAGATTAGGGCAAAGGTGTTTGAATCTGCATCCCGATTTCGAACGGAGGTCACGGTATCAAAAATGGGAAGGGTTTTAGGACTTGTCATTTGGTGAACTGCTTCCATGAGACAGTAGGTTGCGTGCAAGCACTGTGATCGAGCAATTTGACCAGATGAGACACGTTTGCTTAGTTTTTTGGGTTTTTTTTTCTAGAGTATCTGACAAACACTCGACACGTTTCTGCTTTAGTTAAAGGGTCACGATGCAAAATCTTGAAAATTTTTAAGTTATTCGCATTATGAAATCATTGCAAGCAGCTTAGTGCTCAACCTTTAAAGGGGCACTCAAGTGCTTTTTGGAGAAGCTTGTTTTTGGAAGCATATTGTTTGTTGGGCTTCAGTCAATAAAAATGACCAGTTCTAAATGGCAAGGCGCCCTAGTAAACTCACAGCAATAGAAATACACAGGCACTATATCCTCTTGCGGGGTCCATCCCGTGTCTCCACCACCTTCATAGAATTCGACCAATAGAAATAGCGAACTGCGAAAAGATTGCTAAAGTTATTATTATTGCTCTTTTTAGGCACATGCACATTATATTTTGACAACAACGTCAAATCTTTGGCTGTAGGTGACGTAATACAGCTATAATTGTTTGAAAAAGAGCGAACTACGTTTTCTCCTCGCCTTGTTACGCGGGAGTGATGTGCCCACGCGGCGACGCGGCTCCGTCGTAGAAAGCGCGTGGCTCGCAGCTTATCTCGCCGCGAGAACGATAAGGAAGAGGATCTTTTTCCCGAGCCCCCCACTTCCCGTTCTCAAAGCAAGGTTCACCGAATCGATCGACATCCACGTGTTGAAACGTTTATTCGTCTTCGCTTCCGTGTGATGCCGAACGTTTGTGTGGTAAAGTTGTGCCCGAATCGGAAGGTAAAAAATATTCGAAAAGGTCTCCGGTTTTTCGCTCTGCCGGAGAAGGATCCACGAAGGCACGAATGGTTACGTGTCGCCGGGCGAGATGACGACACCGAGGACTTGAACCGGACTCCCCGTTTCTGTGCCGAGCATTTCGAGACGTCTGCATTTTCCAGCGGTGACTGCAAACGCCTTTGATGCACAGCTCTGCCGACACTTCTGCTTCCCGTCGCCGGCAGGACCAAGGAGCCCCCGAAAAAGCGCCAGAGAGTCCTGGTGAGTGTCTTGTCAAAGATTCATGAGCCTTGCATTGTGCAGCAGTCCGCGTGGCATATACCGGGAGTTTCCGATGAAAGATATAATCGCACCTTTCGACCTGGGTAAGTAAACTATGCATCCCATAAAGCTGGAACTCCATGAGAATGTGACGCTGGCAGTCAAGACAGAACGCGAAAGGTTGAAAACACGACGTTACCCGAATCAGAAAATAATTCCAAATAAAGTTCTTTATGGGCCGATGTTAGCCCTAAGTCTAACGTCTTCAAAACAATAGATGCCATTTTGCGCGCCTGTAGAAGAAAGAAGACGATCTTGTATTTCTTGCAGACAAGTGTCCCTTATTGATATAAATCCCACAAGCGTCCATAATGTCATATATTGTTTTGAAGATATTACGCTTAGGTGGATGTCGGCTCACAAATAAATTTTTGTTTCCAAATTGTCTTCTGATTCAGGTAACGTAGGTTTCTCAATCTTTCGCACTCTATCCTAATCGCCAGCGTCGCATCAGGGAGTTCGAGCTTTCTGCGGTGCGTAGTTTATTTAACCAAACCACCCCACCCCCCAACCCCAACCCCCCCTCCTCCCCCCCCCCTAAAAAAAAAAAGAAAAAACGTTGTTTGTTTGTTCTTTTTTTTGGGGGGGGGGGGGGGCGTGGGGAAGTTTTTTTTCTGTGCGTTCGGAAGTGAGGATGTTGGGAAGACGAGAAAACCGTGCTTTTCGGCTCGCGTAAATTAACTACGGATCGTAAAAAGCTGAATACCGCTGAGAATGTGACGCTATACTCCGTTTCACCTTATGTTGTACCGCAGCAAAGGCTAGAAGCGCGAGCTCACAGGGTTGGCAGCTGCCCTTAGTGCACGAGAGCTTGTGCCACCGAGATGTTCCCTAGAGCAAGGAGCTCGTGCTTGTAGCCTTTCCTGCGGTACAACACAAGGTGAAACAGAGTATAGTGGTGGTCACAGAATTCTAAAGTTTGAGAACATACCGCTATCTGGATGAAAAAAAAAATTAAAATACTGAATTTATCTACGAGCTGCTGTCCACCAAAGCCTAATTATTTCACGATTCTTCTCCTGCCCTTTTTATTATAAAAGTTCCTATCCTTTATCACAGTCTTGGGTTATTTTCTACATGGTCAACATCCAACAGCTCGCCTGCACACTCACTGTAATTTCGGGAGTAGTGAACCCGTTTGATTCAAGCAACATAATGTCCTGCTATGCATAGTTTATGTATGCAGACCGAAATGGACGGTTCTCCGCTTTCACTAACAACCGTCGCATCAATTTCAAGCATGTGATCAGCCTTTTTTTATTTTTTTTTATTTTTTCTTGTCACGCTTCTTGCTTCAGCTTTATAACTTCGAACACACTTTATTGTCTCATGAGCTTGAAATTTGCATGCGCAGCCAAAGAACGGTGGAACTAGCGAATGTGAAAACCGATCATCTAAATGAGATGCCCTGTGCCTGCCGTGCGGGTTTTCATGAAGGACTCATGCAGCCAGCTACCAAGTTCAAGTTGTGCACTTGACAAAATTACGACTATGAATGGGCACTTGTGTGGAAGCATAATATGTGCAAGAAGTTCTCAAGATAGTGAGAACAGAACCGATTTTGTTAGTCAGAGATGCTTCAAGGGCCCGTAAAAATAGGCAGGCACAATTTGTTTTTATTTATCAAAATTGCGTTATTACCCCAGTTATCGACTGGATTTTTTCTTATGTGTTTAAACAGTGTCTTCGTACCCTGCCTTGTGTAATACCCGGAAACGGATCCTCAAGGTAACTAAATGAAAAAGAATCTGCAAGGATGATGGTGTGTATATGTGACATGTCAGGCACACCATAGTTAGTTATACCAGGGGACACGTGCCTCTTCTGTGAAGGTGAAGGTTTGCTTTCTGCGTGCAAACCCTCCCCTGAAGACCTTATGTTGCAGCAGACTACACACAAATGCAAGCATAGTGTCCGAGTTCGGTGCCCCATACTCGTAACTACATGCGCTGCACATGAAAGCGGGTTTTGCAGGCTTGCAATTGCAAGTGCTTACTTGAACCAAAAGAGATGGCGGCGGCCAGATGCCCTGCTTGCAATACTGTATCGGAGGTTGCCACAAGATATTCAGTTACTGTAAAATACCAAACATCTGCCCATTCTACAACAGGCACTCTTCCCTCATTTTTGCAACATCTGGAAAGTACAGAAATGGCATATCCTTAGATATTGTGGACCTAATAAGTGCCCATTTCCAAGTTTTACGTGATTATCTCCAAATTTTGAGTGGGCACTTGCTCGGAATTTTACCTAATCAAGTAACGACTTAAATTACACATGTACAAAGCAGATATAAATGCAGGGACATTTCTATTCAGTGTCAGTTTTTTGTTGCATTCAGAATAGTCTAAGCAGTGTAAACAATGCACGAGTCATAAAATTGCTGGAATGCATAGTGCCTTCGATGCTTGCTGTGCTCGTGGCACTGTTAGAAACTATCGATAGCCCAAATTGCATCTTTCAAGCATTGTGAAAAACATTGGGGTATAAACGTGCTATTTGCAGGCCCAAGTCTCAGCAGCTGGACTGTCCGCATCTTGCGAGACAGGAACTATCTTGCGGGACTGCACTGCCGAAATGAACATCACCGGAAGGGTGGCAGCTTCTCTGGTCATGGAGGAACCGCTGCAGTTGAACCCTTTCGACGCTGCCTCCCCCTCCTGCAGCATTGAGGTGCCACACGACTGTGTGTCTCCTGCTCACAGCAGCGTGGCAGAGTCTGATGCAACATACTCTCCTTCCCGCTCTGCCGAAGGTTTCGAGAGGTAAGCTATGCGCATGTATGCCTAGAATTTGTGAAAAACGCTTTACATAATCCCATTCCAGTGACGGACAAACTGCGTCAAGTCCACCAGCACCAGAAAAAGAACGCCAGTTCCTGGTCTTTGAGAGCTGCCTGCGAGAACTCTTCAGGACATGCCAGGAGTGCTCAAGACCCTGCCAAAATGACATCACAAGCCAGGGTACGCTCATCACAGTGGTCAGCATCTGCCCTCTCGAGCACGTGCGGAAGTGGAGCAGCCAACCCATCATCAATGGAAGAGGCGCAGGAAACATTCTGTTGACAAGCCATCTGCTCTTCTCTGGAGCCCAAGTGACGAACACACTTCGGATGCTCCGCCACATGAACGTCGAGGTGATGAGCGATCAGATGTACAACACCTACCAGAACGCCCTCCTGTTCCCTGCAGTGGACAAGGTGAGGAACATTCTGAAGGAACTACATTATAGTATTTTTTTACTCCCATATAAAGCCCATTACCAGGTGTAGCATCCTTCCTGTGAAACATTCAACAAACATTCTCTACATTTTCAGTGCTGACAAGTGGGCAGAGGCTTGTGCTTATACATCGTCGCATGATAGATCCGGGAAGCATATGCTTGTGTCATCTGCTTGCTGCACCAATAAGGAAATGCCGCCACAAGCACCACTGTCAGGGAATTTGGTTGACGGCTTTTGCACTAAATGTAAAGAATGTGTTTCTTACTCTTCACAGGAAGAGAGCTATGTCTTGAAATTTCTATATGTAAAATTCGCCACTAAAAACGGCTTTGGTAGTAATTCGAGCTCATTGCGTGAAGAAACAAATTTTTCAAGCTGATTTCTGAGCGAGCCTCTGGATTCATAATTCTATAGAAGGTGTTTGTTTCTAGATGCACCAAATTATAAAAAAGAGAACTAGCATTCTTTTTACCCTGGGGCTAAAGTGGGGGCCATGGACGCCACCATAAATGAAGTGAAATGGGTTAGTAAGTTACTTGACTAAAACACTCAAACAAACGTTTATTGTTTATATTTATGGGTTCTGGGGGCGACAAAAGTCCTTGCACACACTTCAAACCGAAACTAAGAGGGAAAATATCACCTGTGTACCCTGCAGTGCGGATGTGTGAGTCTGCCATGGCAACCATGTTCACTTCCAGGGCCGGTAGGCGGTGGAGAGATTGTTATCATGGGCACTCTTTGCCCGCTTAGTTTTGAAGTACTGCATAAGAGCGACTTTTGTTTTACCATAACAACCACTACAAATTTGTAGTGAAAATGTATGTCACGGGTGTACTCTGATGTAGAGCATCAATTTTCCAAATACATTATGCCCTCAAAAATAAAACCTAAATAAGTTAATTAGAATGTTTCTTTATTAGCTGACTAATTAACCCATTTCAAGTCTTCTTGTGGTGCCCATAGTCCCCAAATGTAGCCCCAGGGTTAAAAAAACCCCTAACATTTTTTTTTTGTGGTGCAGCGGAAAAGAAAAAAATTTTGTCCGTCACATACTATGGGCAAGTGAACTAATTAATTTTATTTTTCTCTATGCATACTCGGAAATAATAAATTATGTCAGCGCATTTTTACAATTTCTCATGCAACATTAATTTCCATGAATAGATATGGCTACAAGAACAAGATGAGCTGATCAGTCAGCTGGACAGTCAAGAAGTTGACATTACTGCCGATGGACGGTTCGATTCTCCTGGGTTTTCTGCAAAGTACCTCACATACTCGGCTCACGTCCAACAGATCAACAAGATTCTCCACTCTGTGCAGGTCCAGCTAGGAGAGGTGAGTGTTCATGTAGTAAAACAATCACAACGGTTTTATGATTCTTTATGTACACTTTTATAATTTAGTATAATTTGGTGACTTCACTGTCATGCGCAATTCAAATGATTTGTGTCTCACTTCTGTTCTTAGTCAGAGCGAGCAATGGCCAGTGTCAACATGGAAAAGGAAGGCCTCATCAAGCAGCTGGAATTTTTGAAGGAGAAATGTATGTTCATATTTTCTTCGACATTCATAGTGATTCCATACTGTTCTACATTGTATACTCAACAATTATTTTGTACTACGAAATTCAATGGCACAGGTATCCACATCCGATCCTTGGGGACTGATCGCCACCCTGCCATACGGAAGCACATGGAGACCCAGGAGCCCGGAATTGCCCACTACTTCGACATTTGGCACATCTCCAAAAGTAAGCAATTGTCAAAGCCTATTTATGTAGGTGACATTTTCTAGTGAAGCTGCTGCAGGATTTCATTAAATTGCTTTTTAATTTTTAGGTGTGAAGAAAAAGATGGCGGCAGCAAGCAAACGAGCCGGCTGCCAAGAACTTCAAATGTGGGTGCAGGCGACCACCAACCACCTCTACTATTCGGCCAAGGCTGGGGCGGGCGACAGGAAACTGACCGTTGACGTGTGGCTCAGTCTCCAGAACCATGCCATCAACGAACACACGGGCCATGGCGGGAGCTATCCCAGGTGTCTGCACAACGAGATACAAGACAGCACAAGAAAGTGGATGGATCCTAGTAGGTTTTTGTTCTCCCAACTGAGGGTGCTCATTCTAAACCATGTCCTATCTGCAGACTCCCAGGCCTATGACCACCTAAAAAAAATCACTGGGGACAAGCGGCTCCTGAAGGACGTCGGCCAGATGTCTCCCCATGGCCAGACGTACGCCCTTGAGGCGTTCCACAGCGTCCTCATAAATTTCGCCCCAAAGTCCCAGGCATTTTCTCCGGCTGGCATGCTTGCAAGGTAATTACAGAAATACATTTTGTCTGGAAGTCAGGTGCAGTGATGTCTCGTTGATATTCGCATGCCCATACCCCCCAAAAATCGTTCATGGTGAGAGTTTTCCATAATAATGACAAATGCAAGTAATTGCCCAATTCATACCAGAAAATACTGTCTATATAGTAGGGTATCCAATCAGGGTTCTCCTTACAGTGGGTAGCAGTGGTTACGCTGCCCGCCCGTCGAGCAGACCGCCCTTCTCTATGATGTATCATACACCTCAATATTTTACCAACGCTGGACGAGATGTCACCGATTAATCAAATACACAATACCCCCCATCATCATATTTGTGAGGCGGCCATTGCACAAGGCATAAATACAAATCTCAGCAAAAAAACAAAAAAAATCAACAAAAAAAATTGCTGCATTGGTGAAAAAGGACCAAAGGTTATTACACAAATCAAACATGCCCCCACCCCCCCCCCCCTCCCAGAAAAATTGTCAGTTGACCACATCTCAAATATTTCTCGGAAAACTCTGGTACCCATATTAACGGGGTCTAAATTTACAAAACATTACAGCATCTGAATTACCAAGAAGTTGATAAGGTCCTAATTTACAAAACATAACAGCATCCGAATTACCAAAGAGTTGGTTTGCCATTGTTTTGCACAATGGCAAAACTTTTCGAGATTGGTCCTTTTCAAAATCCTTTGGTTTTACAACATTGCGTGTTTCTTTTTCCAAGAAAAAATATTCAGCACAGGGGTTATGTGTCCTTTTCAATTTGTTATAAGGAGTACTGCAACTGACTGCCGCTTGCACATATATCTCTATCATAATGTGTATGTTCAGGCTTATCAATGCAGTTTTGGCGCAAGTACAAAAATCTAAGGGGGGACTTCTACCAGGCTGCGATTTATATACAAACATTTTTGTAAAACCATTCAATGATGCGGGGTGGGCTGCTTATAGGCCGAAATGTACAGTGCTTCTTGGTGGCACATTTCATCTTCACTGAAATATCACCATCCTGCAGGACACGACTTGCAATCTTGCATTACAACGAAAACTCGGACCGCTGCCAAGCTGTGACGCAACAGGGCGATCCACGTTTCACGGTGACCACATCAAAGGCACGGAAGGGACACGCCACAGCACGTGAAAAGAAAACGGATCCAACTTATGGTAAGTGTGGCTCCTAATCCAGGCAGAAGCTTTGCTAACTGCATATTGGAATGTTATCATGCATATGCTTCAATTTCAGAGTACGTTGGAAAGCTAGTCCGGGAGGTGATGGCCAGCAATGAGCAGTGCACGTCCCTTGATGAGGCAGCAATAGCCAAAAAACGCATCTTTCCGGCACCCATGAATGCCGCCTTCACGAGGCCTTCCAAAAGGGAACTCGTGGAGGCAAGGAGGTCCCGGTTCGGCCAAGTTACCCCGTAAGGGACCTCCTCAAATCCCTCCTGTCACCCGTGCACTCAATGGTAAGTTTCCAAGGCCCCTTCACCTGCCAGGTGAAGCCAAGTTCCAGGCTGAGACAGCACGTTTCCTTTTGCAGGACACCTGCCTCGGCCAAGCGGGCGTTAGGGGGCATGGTTAACACATCGAAGGCACGGAAGGGACATGCCACAGCACGAGAAAAGAGAACGGATCCACCGTATGGTAAGTGTGGCTCCAAATCCAGGCTGAAGCTTTGCTCCGTGCGGTTTGGAATGTTATCATGCATATGCTTCAATTTCAGAGTACGTTGGAAAGCTAGTCCAGGAGGCGATGGCCAGCAACGAGCAGTGCACGTCCCTCGATGAGGCAGCAATAGCCAAGAAGCGCATCTTTCCGGCACCCATGAATGCCGCCTTTACAAGGCCTTCCAAAAGGGAACTCGTGGAGGAAAAGAGGTCCCGGTTCGGCCAGGTTACCCCGTGAGGGACCTCCTCAAATCCCTCCTGTCACCCGTGCACTCGATGGTAAGTTTCCAAGGCCCCTTCACCTGCCAGGTGAAGCCAAGTTCCAGGCTGAGACAACACGTTTCCTTTTGCAGGACACCTGCCTCGGCCAAGCGGGCGTTAGGGGGCATGGTTAACACATCGAAGGCACGGAAGGGACATGCCACAGCACGAGAAAAGAGAACGGATCCAACGTATGGTAAGTGTGCCTCCAAATCCAGGCTGAAGCTTTGCTCCGTGCGGTTTGGAATGTTATCATGCATATGCTTCAATTTCAGAGTACGTTGGAAAGCTAGTCCAGGAGGCGATGGCCAGCAACGAGCAGTGCACGTCCCTCGATGAGGCAGCAATAGCCAAGAAGCGCATCTTTCCGGCACCCATGAATGCCGCCTTTACAAGGCCTTCCAAAAGGGAACTCATGGAGGAAAAGAGGTCCCGGTTCGGCCAGGTTACCCCGTGAGGGACCTCCTCAAATCCCTCCTGTCACCCGTGCACTCAATGGTAAGTTTCCAAGGCCCCTTCACCTGCCAGGTGAAGCCAAGTTCCAGGCTGAGACAACACGTTTCCTTTTGCAGGACACCTGCCTCGGCCAAGCGGGCGTTAGGGGGCATGGTTAACATATCAAAGGCACGGAAGGGACATGCCACAGCACGAGAAAAGAGAACGGATCCAACGTATGGTAAGTGTGGCTCCAAATCCAGGCTGAAGCTTTGCTCCGTGCGGTTTGGAATGTTATCATGCATATGCTTCAATTTCAGAGTACGTTGGAAAGCTAGTCCAGGAGGCGATGGCCAGCAGCGAGCAGTGCACGTCCCTCGATGAGGCAGCAATAGCCAAGAAGCGCATCTTTCCGGCACCCATGAATGCCGCCTTTACAAGGCCTTCCAAAAGGGAACTCGTGGAGAAAAAGAGGTCCCGGTTCGGCCAGGTTACCCCGTGAGGGACCTCCTCAAATCCCTCCTGTCACCCGTGCACTCGATGGTAAGTTTCCAAGGCCCCTTCACCTGCCAGGTGAAGCCAAGTTCCAGGCTGAGACAACACGTTTCCTTTTGCAGGACACCTGCCTCGGCCAAGCGGGCGTTAGGGGGCATGGTTAACACATCGAAGGCACGGAAGGGACATGCCACAGCACGAGAAAAGAGAACGGATCCAACGTATGGTAAGTGTGGCTCCAAATCCAGGCTGAAGCTTTGCTCCGTGCAGTTTGGAATGTTATCATGCATATGCTTCAATTTCAGAGTACGTTGGAAAGCTAGTCCAGGAGGCGATGGCCAGCAACGAGCAGTGCACGTCCCTCGATGAGGCAGCAATAGCCAAGAAGCGCATCTTTCCGGCACCCATGAATGCCGCCTTTACAAGGCCTTCCAAAAGGGAACTCGTGGAGGAAAAGAGGTCCCGGTTCGGCCAGGTTACCCGTGAGGGACCTCCTCAAATCCCTCCTGTCACCCGTGCACTCGATGGTAAGTTTCCAAGGCCCCTTCACCTGCCAGGTGAAGCCAAGTTCCAGGCTGAGACAACACGTTTCCTTTTGCAGGACACCTGCCTCGGCTAAGCGGGCGTTAGGGGGCATGGTTAACACATCGAAGGCACGGAAGGGACATGCCACAGCACGAGAAAAGAGAACGGATCCAACGTATGGTAAGTGTGGCTCCAAATCCAGGCTGAAGCTTTGCTCCGAGCGGTTCGGAATGTTATCATGCATATGATTCAATTTCAGAGTACGTTGGAAAGCTAGTCCAGGAGGCGATGGCCAGCAACGAGCAGTGCACGTCCCTCGATGAGGCAGCAATAGCCAAGAAGCGCATCTTTCCGGCACCCATGAATGCCGCCTTTACAAGGCCTTCCAAAAGGGAACTCGTGGAGGAAAAGAGGTCCCGGTTCGGCCAGGTTACCCCGTGAGGGACCTCCTCAAATCCCTCCTGTCACCTGTGCACTCAATGGTAAGTTTCCAAGGCCCCTTCACCTGCCAGGTGAAGCCAAGTTCCAGGCTGAGACAACACGTTTCCTTTTGCAGGACACCTGCCTCGGCCAAGCGGGCGTTAGGGGGCATGGTTAACACATCGAAGGCACGGAAGGGACATGCCACAGCACGAGAAAAGAGAACGGATCCAACGTATGGTAAGTGTGGCTCCAAATCCAGGCTGAAGCTTTGCTCCGTGCGGTTTGGAATGTTATCATGCATATGCTTCAATTTCAGAGTACGTTGGAAAGCTAGTCCAGGAGGCGATGGCCAGCAGCGAGCAGTGCACGTCCCTCGATGAGGCAGCAATAGCCAAGAAGCGCATCTTTCCGGCACCCATGAATGCCGCCTTTACAAGGCCTTCCAAAAGGGAACTCGTGGAGAAAAAGAGGTCCCGGTTCGGCCAGGTTACCCGTGAGGGACCTCCTCAAATCCCTCCTGTCACCCGTGCACTCGATGGTAAGTTTCCAAGGCCCCTTCACCTGCCAGGTGAAGCCAAGTTCCAGGCTGAGACAACACGTTTCCTTTTGCAGGACACCTGCCTCGGCCAAGCGGGCGTTAGGGGGCATGGTTAACACATCGAAGGCACGGAAGGGACATGCCACAGCACGAGAAAAGAGAACGGATCCAACGTATGGTAAGTGTGGCTCCAAATCCAGGCTGAAGCTTTGCTCCGTGCGGTTTGGAATGTTATCATGCATATGCTTCAATTTCAGAGTACGTTGGAAAGCTAGTCCAGGAGGCGATGGCCAGCAACGAGCAGTGCACGTCCCTCGATGAGGCAGCAATAGCCAAGAAGCGCATCTTTCCGGCACCCATGAATGCCGCCTTTACAAGGCCTTCCAAAAGGGAACTCGTGGAGGAAAAGAGGTCCCGGTTCGGCCAGGTTACCCCGTGAGGGACCTCCTCAAACCCCTCCTGTCACCCGTGCACTCGATGGTAAGTTTCCAAGGCCCCTTCACCTGCCAGGTGAAGCCAAGTTCCAGGCTGAGACAACACGTTTCCTTTTGCGGGACACCTGCCTCGGCCAAGCGGGCGTTAGGGGGCATGGTTAACACATCGAAGGCACGGAAGGGACATGCCACAGCACGAGAAAAGAGAACAGATCCAACGTATGGTAAGTGTGGCTCCAAATCCAGGCTGAAGCTTTGCTCCGTGCGGTTTGGAATGTTATCATGCATATGCTTCAATTTCAGAGTACGTTGGAAAGCTAGTCCAGGAGGCGATGGCCAGCAACGAGCAGTGCACGTCCCTCGATGAGGCAGCAATAGCCAAGAAGCGCATCTTTCCGGCATCCATGAATGCCGCCTTTACAAGGCCTTCCAAAAGGGAACTCGTGGAGGAAAAGAGGTCCCGGTTCGGCCAGGTTACCCGTGAGGGACCTCCTCAAATCCCTCCTGTCACCCGTGCACTCGATGGTAAGTTTCCAAGGCCCCTTCACCTGCCAGGTGAAGCCAAGTTCCAGGCTGAGACAACACGTTTCCTTTTGCAGGACACCTGCCTCGGCTAAGCGGGCGTTAGGGGGCATGGTTAACACATCGAAGGCACGGAAGGGACATGCCACAGCACGAGAAAAGAGAACGGATCCAACGTATGGTAAGTGTGGCTCCAAATCCAGGCTGAAGCTTTGCTCCGAGCGGTTCGGAATGTTATCATGCATATGCTTCAATTTCAGAGTACGTTGGAAAGCTAGTCCAGGAGGCGATGGCCAGCAACGAGCAGTGCACGTCCCTCGATGAGGCAGCAATAGCCAAGAAGCGCATCTTTCCGGCACCCATGAATGCCGCCTTTACAAGGCCTTCCAAAAGGGAACTCGTGGAGGAAAAGAGGTCCCGGTTCGGCCAGGTTACCCCGTGAGGGACCTCCTCAAATCCCTCCTGTCACCCGTGCACTCGATGGTAAGTTTCCAAGGCCCCTTCACCTGCCAGGTGAAGCCAAGTTCCAGGCTGAGATAACACGTTTCGTTTCGCAGGACACCTGCCTCGGCCAAGCGAACACGCACGGAAGGGGGGATCTTGCAGACCCGCTCCTTATCCTGTTACGAGAGCCCGACCTGCAGTAATGAGAACGGCAGTTGTAACTGCAGTAACTTGTCAAAGATGATGAAATCCATTGTGATAATGAAGTTTCGATTCCAGGATCATCGACCAGCCGATAAAGCAACACGAAGGCTCAAGTTCTGGGAGCTGCCATGTAGTCAGATGTGCCAAACCTGCCAGGGGAACTTTGATACCGTGAACCATAACAGAAAAAGCCAGTGCTGCAGCTTTTTCTTTATTATGTACTATTTGCAAATAGGTTAAAACAGTGCAGATCATCGTGACCCTGATAATTTTGCCCTACATGGCACTAATTACTGCATTGTTTCATCAATAACACAAAGAAAGTAGTGACCAGTAAACTCTTGCAATTTTATGCAGCTCTTTACAAGGGATCCTAGTCTAAATTCACAAGCTTAGTATGCTGTCAATGTTTTCCTAATTGCGGTACTGAAACCCCAAGCACTATAAGCAATATGGCTCACAAATTCGTCTGCTCTTTGCTACGTTTGATCACTTCCTGCATGCGACCATAGGCTTTTGTACTCTCCCAATGGCAGCATGGGCTTGGCTGCTTCATTGTTGCGCGTTCTTTGTGCTATCTTTTTGTCGCCGTTAATTGGTCTGACCGTTGTATTCTAATGCACCAAAACAAGTTTAGAAACACTCACTGTCATCACATTTTTCCATGTCCCCCAAACGTAATACAGTATTGACTTTTCTTTTCATGTGCTGCCACGCTGACATCCTGAAGAGGCTGCGCCTTGGCAAAGCAGCTCTCCCGTTAGTTTCTAATAAATGGGGTTTTCATCCAGGAGGTAGACTGGAACTGTAAAAATTAAATTTGGGCAACTGTGCATGACAGCACAAAGACACCTAACCTCAACACCATTCATACTTGGAAAGGGAAAAACAGTTTCCAGTCTACACCACGGTTTCCCCCCCCCACCCATCTGCAACACTGTCTCCTTTCAATCATTGACTTGTTCACAAAGCAACCTATTATATTGACACACCTTGCTAATTGATGCTGTGGGTTGTTTTATCACGACCTTTTGCATAATTATCCAAGCTCCAAGGAGCATGCTGAAAGTGCAGTTAAACACAGTGGCATCTGCAACAGTTGCAAACGCCAACACATGCACACTCAACACTTGGCTACATCCCCACCTCTCCCCTTTGTGTGTTAGCAAAAGATCCAATTTTAGCTGAAAAGAATGTCAAGTAAAGATGCCTTTTTACTGGGTAACTTGTATGTGCATTGCAGGAATAAGAGCAAGAATTACTAATTAGTGTTCGAGTCTTCCTAGCCAATTTGGCTCCGAGAACACAGCACTTGGCTAGGCTTTACATGAAAACAATCTGTCCATGCTCGTGTTCTCCAGTCTTTCCCTTCGTCTGTATCTAGTGGCGTTGTTCCAAAAATGTGTTATTCACAAAATCCGTCAAGTCGGTAAAAAAAATTATCTTGAAAAAACGTGCTTTTCTCAAAGATTATGGGAAACCCTCAAAGTGCCTTGGATTCGCCTCAATGGCTCGTAGCATCCACGGCAGTCGGTTGTTAGGTGACACGGAGTATAGCAGTAAGTGCTCAAAGGCGCCAAGAAGATGGCAGCCAATGAAAACTGCCAATGTTCTCGCTGAAACATGAAAATCGATAATGACATTGAACTGGACAAAAATAAGTTGTCATCTGGCTCTAACGCCTAACATTACATTTGGGCGAAGAACGACTGCTGGGCAATGCATTGTTTAGCGCTTTTATTTTTTTAAAGGGAGGGGTACCGAAACCCGGAGTAGGTGTCGCTGGCAAAGTGACCTCTAATCGCCTTGACCATGCAGGAGGGCAGTGGTCGCCTGTTCTTCTGTCCAAGTCTCCGCCACAGCCAAAGCACACACTGCCTATAGGCAGCGAACCGGAAGCGCCTGAAACAATGTCCACATTTATTGAATGTAAGGAACACCCACCAGCCATACACCTGAGGCAATGACCAGACTAATCAGATGTAATAAGCAATGTTCGCTACTCTGAAATCTACACCTCTCTTGTGATTGTTTCCCCGGAAAAACCATCATATATTATGGTTCTCTTTTATGTTTCCTTTCGCTGTGCATGTGATATATTTGCAAACAAACAAATGATCGGCACAACTAACTATACACCAACTCATGTTTATAAACAAACTGGAGTGCCCCTAGCAGACGCCACCGGCGCCGCGCATGCGCAATGGAGTGTGGGCAAGAAGCTCGCCTTTGCCCATAAACAAACCATTGAAATGCGATGTTGCCGGCGTCTGTGTGACTCCCCTTGTATTTTTTTGCGTTTGAATAGTTGACTACGTTTTCCTTGCAATGTCTGACTACTTGAGCAGCCTCAAGAACCGACGAGAGACAGTAGTCCAACTCTGACTCCATGTCAGTCTATAAAGCCACGTAACATCTATTCTCGCGGCAGCCAGAAGAATAATTTCCCCGAAATTCAACCGGCAGTTGACTCCCATTGGACCATTGACTGTTGCCAAGGGAAAGCGGAGGCGAAGAGGGGGGGTTTAACACTGGCCCGAGGGATACATGCACGATGAAGTGTCCCTACAGCGTGCAATTCGCGTAACGAGTGTCGATGAAACGTCAGCGTCGACAATACGTGTCCAGGAAAAGTTGTCCATGAAACGTGTTTCCATGAGATGTTGGAAGAACAAGAAAATCAGCATTCTACCGGCAGTTGTATGATTTCAGACAACCAATGGGAGGCGATCGTCGGTAGAATTTCGAAAAATTATTCTCCCAGCTGCCGAGAGAATAGACGCTGTCATAAAGCTACCCGTCCTTATCCTTGGCCCGCGGCTTGGGAGGCATGGGCATGGAACCAAAAACGCACGGCAAACAAGAAAAAAGCAGACACGCAAAGCGAAAAACATTCAAAAGCAGTTGAACGCTAATGATGATTTCTATTCAAAGCTATCACGCCGCTTCAATGCGTACGCAAGAAAAACGGGAGCCGAGGCAGAACAGCAAGTTTCGCGACCGGTAACACGAAGTTCTACTCACTCGTTCGAGGTTGCTCCCATGTTTCTTTCACCATAGTGGCGCATGTTCAACAAGGCCAGCTGTAGCACACCCGGATCGAGGCACAGCCCCTCGAAATCCGGGTGGCTTGTCACGCAGCTCTGCCGGCCCTGCTGCTTGCGAACGGCGGCCGGGTAGTCACGGCAGCAGACACACTCTGCGACGGTTTCCATCGGCACGCAGCAACTGCATTGGCACCTTAAAACAGAAAACCGGCATCAGCTATACATATGAGAGGTATAATAAACAGCTCATCACCTACCAGTTGGTGTTCCCAAGCCGCTGGGTTGCGTCGTCGGTTTCGTCGTCTTCCTCCGGTGTCGACATTGAGCATTGCGAACTGTCGTCCGAGTCCGTCGCGTTCGAGGCATCGGCGTCGCGCGTAGGAGTGGCATCGTAGGAGATTGAGCTGATATCTGCCGTCCGCCGAAGAATTTCCACCTCCAACGGTGTTAGATTTGGCAGGTCCATCTCCGCACGACGCAAGACCCGAAATGAGTCCCAACGAGAATCCATCAAATACGCGCACATTCGGAAGATCACTCCGCCGGTTCGAAGGATCAATCCGCCGGGAAGCCGTCACTCGTGATTGGATGGCGCACGCCCTTCCCTGCTGCCTTCCCGTCCGACAGCGCCCCTGACGGCGTGCGCCTAGACGCAGAACAGCGATCTTTGATTGGATTTTTAATAGGGAAATCGGCCGCCCTTGAATGTAATTTTGGGATTTCTAGGATGCTTAGAGCCCGCAGATTGAGTTATGATCATAAATAGACGATCTCAGAATCCACTTGAGTGCCCCTTTAAGGGTTTCAAGTAACTTGAAAATGACTGTTTTTTTTTTGTTTGTTTTTTTGCTTTTAGTTGAATTGGATAATGATCAGGAAGTTCGATGTCTGATAGCAGTGAACTGAATATTTTTGTAATAATGAACTATAAATGAACTCACGAAAGTCAGTTTGAACACAGTTGCTATGCATCTCCCAACAAAGTGGCAGTGGTGAAATGACCGTGCCTGACCAGTGAACACGATTAAAGTTCGTCGGTATGTAGTGTATTCATTGTGGTGTTTGTGTCCAATACTCTAACCTTTTTTCAGATCCTTTCGTAGCAGCTGGTTTGTGACCCTTGCATGCCTCTTTTCTTTCAATAGGCATGGCACCAAGTACGAGCCTGTTGCTGTGTCATGCTATGGGAGTTGCTTGCGTGCCCTTGGACACGACGTGCAGAACTTCCCCTACGGCATCCTTGTTCACCCGGAATGCCCATGGCTCGTGCCATCTCGACAGAGAAATCTCTGGGATCCAATTGAACCAACTCCTCATGCAGTTGTAGTGGTGAAGTGCCCGTACACCCAGAAAGACTGTTTGTTTCAATACGGTGTGGAACTTTGATATGACGAACGGCACCGCAGGTGCCGTTCGTCATATCAAAGTCCGGCTGAACAGGAACCATAAGCATTACCGTCAGATACCGTATTTACTCGATTGTAACGCGAGTTTTTCTCCAGATTATGGCTGCCTAAAGTCAACCCTCGCGTTACAATCGAATACCGAAATTAAAGTTATCTAAAAATTGCAATGATACGCCCAGACCTAATTGAAGGCGCCAGATTTGGGCGCCCCGCGACCTATGTTGGCAACATGTGCCGACCAAAAACCATTCGGATCCACTGCAAGCCAATAACTCATTCTTTTTTTTTCCCTCCTTTTTTTTCTCTGACGGAGTGCACGTTGCGTTTGTCGTGTGTGGTGGCATCAGCGACTTTGGCTGCCTCGTGTTTCATCTCCCTTTGGCTGCCCTTACAATGGCAGCGTGTCGGGCACAGTACGACGCCCGCTTCAAGAGGCGTGCCGAACACATCGGCAATTCAGCCGCTGCCCGAAACCTAGACGTAAATGAGTCGACCATTCGCGGATGGCGGCTCCAGCGGGAGCACCTTTTCATGTGC